TAATAGGAGTTAAAAAGATTAGATATCAAACAAACAATAGAAACAGAAAAATTGTTGGATGAAAGACTAAACCAGGAGGGAACTTGCTATCGGCCCGAGCTTCAACACGGAGCCACCAAAGCAGGACTTGGCGCCCACAGCTTCCAAGTGGCTCTACCATAGAAGTGTCTTTCAACAGAGATAATGGACTCTCTATATCCTCAGTGGGATCAAGTGTGTCAAGATCATTAACCCACTCTGGTTTTCCTTCAGTTTCCTTCCAAAGCAACCTGGAGTTCAACACAAACCCAGACCATTCCAGCTTCCTGGGCAACACAGTTGCCCTGTCATCAATGTAAACTGCATTCTTCCCACCGTAGGGCAATGAATTAAAAGTATGCCAACCAACCAACTTATCAGAGGAGTTACATGCTGGACCTTGAACAGGCATTGGCAGGTTCTCCTCCGCCTCCTTATCTATCAACAATGATGGCTCGTCTGCATTACCAGAATGAGCAAGTATCCCTACAGACAAAGCACCAAACCATTTTACATTCTGGATCTCATCAAAGAGCTCCATGCTATGCATATTGCTATCATCCGCAAACATCACAATCCCATCAAGCTTCTCTTCCCTGACAACTCTGCTCCAATTACACAAATAAACGTACTGTGTCAAGTTCAGATTCTAAGGATTACCTAAATTTCATTAACTCCACCATATTCACTCTTAAGATTCATATGTTTGAGTTGAAGCTCATATAGAAGTCATAAAAAGATTAACATAAACAGAAGAAATGAAGAAATGCAAGTAACGAACTGAACAAGAATTACCTCAAAGCGCGAAGCCGCATTTTTCCCTCCAGTTTGTGGCGATCCTCCCAAGAAAGAGGCATCCGCTCTTTGAACTCGAGATGAATCGTCCTCAACCCGGATTTAGCAATAATTGAAGCGGTTTCATCGGTCTTTCCACCTGCCTCCACGACAATCCATGTCAGATCATAAGGCACCAACATCAATGAGTGCATCACGCCGGTCAAATGGAGCGCCTGGAAAGTCCGCACATAAGTCGGGGTCACCACGATAATGGACCTGGGGTTCTTCACACCGAACTGCAGCCTCTGCTCCCGCTGCACTCTCTCAATGATCTGGTGCGCTTTCATGACTTCGACCGGGTTCGGGTGCGGCCAGGGACGGATCCGGATCCCGTGCCGGCCTACCACCACTCGTGAACTCGTTGTCGTCCTGTTCAGTACCGGCGGTTCAAGAGTCCTGACGGTCGGATGGACATCTAGGGTTTGGACCGGAAGGTCGCCGGAGGTAGTAGATGGGCGAAAGGGCGCCGTGTAAAGGTTGGTGGCGGAGGTTGAAAAAAGGAAAAAGAAGACTAACCGCGAGAAACGGTAGCCAAGCACCAAGCTGATCAAGCAACAGAGACCGTGTAGGACCAACCAGAATACGGCGGCCGGTGATTTAATCGCGGCGTCTGATGACGCATCCAACGGCGCCGACGATCTGAAGCTGTTGCTCCTCCGGTTTCCGTAACTCTGCTGCAACACAGAAAGCTTCATATTCTACCTAATCTCTTCTCTCTCGAGGTGAGTGTTCCCAGAGAGAGAATTGCGGGAGAGTACTGAGACTATCGATGGAAATTTGCTTTTTGAAGCTTTTACCAAATTTTGATTACGGTGGGAACATGAGGTTGGTGAACGAAGTTGATTAATCAAAAGGGTTTCTTTGGGTTTACGATTGAATCGATTTGGTCACTGTCTCTTTGTTGCCGCTATCTGCTTCTGGTAGAACACAACAACACAGTGAAAAGAGAGACGACGGAAAAAAAAAAAAAAAAGGAAGGAGAAATAGACACCAGGCCCATGATCTAGGTGGCTCGCTTACAACTTAAGAGTTTCGGACATTAAAGCTCCATTTTTCGTATTAGGAGAAAATTTACCGTACATTTATTCAGACACTGTTCAATGGGTAGCAGACCGTCAAGGTCAAACCCTCGGTTCGCCTGGATGAAAACGGGAAGTCCAAGGTCATTTTAGAAATTTGCAGCCAGAGGATTTTTATCTTTATACCTTGAGTTGGATACGTGGCCTAATGTGATAGGGCCTTCTTTAATACAATCTGTAACAGACGGTAGGATAAAGATTTCTTACAGTGAGAATTAAGGACTAACCACTTGATTAAGACTTCGGGATTTGGTAAACCACAGCATCACTAGCGATCGCCAATCGTGAATGGTGATTAGGTCAACGGTCAATCGCGAAGGTTGGCCGTCCGATCGAAGGGCGAAAAAACGTAAGGACGAAGGAAGGTAGTGCTGGGATCCTGTGCGGAAGGGCACGGGAAAGCTATAATTGTATCTTTTTCCCTATTCCCCCTCGTCATAATGTCACAAACATTTTAATCAACCCAATACTATATATATATATATATTTGATTGTTACCATGTTTAATTATTACAAAGTTGCAACATAAAATACTATATTCGTGTTACATATATATATATACATATATACTCACACACTTAATATATATGACTAATTTAATTATTATATCTCATTGAGTAAAATTAAATATTCATTAAAATAATAATAATAATAATAATAAATTAAACAATCTAATTAAAGAAACCCACAACTAATTCCGATTGAGATGTTTTCATTATTCTATAAGTATTAATCCTTGTTTTATACTTAATTAATTTTCGTAATATAATAATATAAAATTAAAACCCCAAAAGAATGTTTGCTTCAAAGCAAAGACTAACCAGTAAGTCAGAAATCTGAAGCTCACGAGTCTTACCATTCAATTTTGATTATTTTTTATTCAATAATTTACAAAAATTTTATTAAATATTAATAATCTTGTTAATTAATTATAATTATAATTATATTACAGTGAAAGTTGACCCACTGCTTAAAAATTAAATCTTGAAATTGGGCTCTAATTTACAGACTTGGCCCATTTTTTGAACTTGTTATGAAGTCCTAAGAGATTTGGGTCAAATTAAACTTAGGGTTCGTATAATTTCAATGTGGGCTTGGAAATATAAATTCCTATAAGAGCTTTTCTAAATAAAATTTTAATTTTTTATAATTATAGTTTCATTATAAATTATAAATAATAAAACTTCCCCACAAAAAAAATTATTATATAAGCATATATATATACACACACACACACACTCACATAGACATAATATATATATATATATATGTATTATGCATGCATTATACGAGATTGTATGCGTACAACAACCGTGCTGGATTTTGTCTGGTGGAGTGGACTCAATCTAATCCTACAATATGCCAATAATTGCTTATAAAAAAAATTAAATATTTACTTAACACCAAAATATTGGTCCATTTTTTCTTATTAATTTATTTAATTTTTTAAAATATATTTATTATAATATTAATTTTTACTATTTTATAATATGATTTATATTTTTTTCTTACCTAAATATTACTTTCGTAAATAAATTTTTTAATTTATTTTAAATATATCATTCCCAATGAACTTGGGTACTCGTTTAAAAGCAAACCCATTAATTCTTTATACATATTATGTGTGTGTGTGTGTGTATATATTAAAGTTAAAAAATTTAGGTAAAATAATTTATTATATTAAAATAGGATTTAATGAAATAAAAAAAGCATTAAATTATTGACCGAGGAAGTCAACATTTAGGCAGCTAACTCCATCACGTTTTCTCCTCATGATTTAATTCTTTCCACTTTCCGTCTTTGACTTTCTGTCGACACGTAGTCAGGCTTCTTTAAATCACGCCACACGTGCCGACGGACTACGACCTCCAATCACGCAATTTCTTTGTCTTAACCGTGCAATTTTTTTTTTTTTTTTATTATTCCAGCAATAATAATAATACCATTTATTTATACTCATTTACATATTTTTAAAATTTATTATTCGTGTGTGTTAAGTACAATATAATATACGTTAATTTATACCATATGATGTTCAAAATTTAATTTTTTCTTAAAATAATAATATAAAAATAACTGTACATATATAATTTTATGACTATATTTAAAGATGGAAAAATAAATTTTATTCAAATTATTTCGGACTACCGTGACAGTTTGTATCACTTTAAGATCGTAAAAACAGCTGCAGTCAATAAATTAATTGTACGGGCAACGAATCATTATCACGAGTAAAAAATTATATTCACTGATGCTCAAGCCACTGCAAAACACTATAAACAATTACATTTTCGATTTATTGAAATTAAGTATCATATTGGAATATTATAAAGTTTTACTACGGGTTAGATTAAATATAAAGGTCATGTGGGTCCGCAAGCAAGCTTATTTTAATGAGATAAGTTCATAAATTTTTTGTATGAAATGTTTCAGTAATGACAATCATTAGTAGTTATATTTTTTAAAAAAATAATATAAAGTGAAACAAAATAAATTAACAACTATATTTTTTAATTAAATTATATTTTAATTCATTATGTTTATTCTAATTAATAAAAGCTATATATTTCAAACTTTCTATTCAATATAAAAAGATAATTAACTTTATAAAATTAAATTCAATTTGATCGTGATATATAATATATTATAAAATAACAAAAAATATATATATATAATTAAATTTATAATATTTAAATAAATATAAAAATTTATAATTGCTAAACATTGCATTATAATTGTGCACAAATAATATTTAGTTGCAAATAATGCCTAAATTTAGGCATCAACATTAAATACGAGAAGACAGTGGGTGTGATTAGCAAATCTCTGCCCCAGGACCCAACGTTAACTGAAAAGTCAACTATATCATGCTGGCACCAACCAAAACTCTATTACTCTATTTAAAATCTCTGCCCGAGATCAGACGGTCGAGGACACAACTTTGACCTGATCTACCTCCTTCGTTCCCAACGGGCCCCACTTCTCTGATGAGGTCAATTCCCTGACATCTCACTTCACCTTTTGAAAAATTATACATATTATTCTTATATTTATTGTAATATAAAATAAAATTAATTTTGCAGTTAGTAGCTTAGAATAGAAATAGATTTACTTCAATAGATATTATATTTAATTTAATTAGTATATTGAAACTTCAAATTTTGACGTTATAAATTTTGTAAGAATAAAAAAATATATATTAATTTGAATTTAAAAAGAAAAAAAAATTACAGTAAATAATACGTCAAAATAAATAGTTTCACGTAATAATTTCTACACCCCGGTCCCAGTTTTGACTCAGTGGAGGCCCTTTATCAACGCCACCACTCTCCTCTTTTGCTTTTCAATTTTTCTTTTTCTTTCTTCTTCCTTTCTTCCCCCTCTCTCTCTTTGATGTTCGTGTTGTTACAGAGACATGGCTGTGGAGCTCATGATGGGTTACAGAGGCGATAGTTTTACAGCCAAAATGGAAGACAACGCTGTTCAAGAAGCCGCGGCATCTGGACTCGAGAGCGTTCAGAAGCTCATCAGATTGCTCTCGCAGCAAGAAACCAATATCCATCTTCATCACCATCACCATCAACAACACCAACACCAACACCAACACCAACACCAACAATCGTCTTCAACCTCCAGATCCTGTGCTGTTGACTTGGAAATGGACTGCAAGGTCGCCGCAGACGTCGCCGTTTCAAAGTTTAAGAAAGTCATCTCCCTTCTCGGTCGAACCCGAACGGGTCACGCGCGTTTCAGACGGGCCCCCGTCATGTCCAAGAACACTGACTCCACTACCAGTAGCCATGGCCAGCAGAATCAAGCTCCGGAAACTAAGGTGTATCACGCTACGCCGATCCAGCAGATTCCGCCTTTTTCTCCGCATCAGCCACGCGATTTCTCTGTCTTGGTGCCCAAGAGTGGAGTAGTCGAGAGAAAAGATTCATCGTCTGCGACGATTAATTTCTCGTATTCCTCGCCTGGGAATTCCTCTTTCCTATCGTCTTTGACGGGAGAAAACACTGAGAGCAAGCACCAACCACCACCACCGCCCCCTTCCTCCTTGTCGGCGCCGTTCCAGATTACGAATCTCTCTCAGGTCTCCTCAGCCGGTAAGCCGCCGCTCTCTTCTTCTTCTTCTCTGAAGAGAAAGTGCAGCTCCGACAACTTGGGCTCCGGCAAGTGCGGCAGCACCTCCACTCGCTGCCATTGTTCCAAAAAGAGGTACTTCAATCTCCGATCTCTGCTTAATAATGCTTAGATCGTAATCATTTTGATCTTTAATTAATGTCTTCTTCTTCTTCTCCGTTTTTTCTTGCTCTACTTAAACAGCAGGAAGCTGAGATTGAAGAGGGTGGTTAGGGTTCCGGCGATAAGCTTGAAGATGGCGGATATTCCACCAGACGATTACTCTTGGAGAAAATACGGACAGAAACCCATCAAAGGATCTCCTCATCCGAGGTATATTCCATTTATTCTCTGTTCTTCTCCATTAACGTATACCCCTTTTTGTTTTTCTCACTCCAATTTCAAATCCACCCACCAAATTAATCCTATAATAATGGGTCCTTTCATAAACGATAATCCTAACGATCCTGACTCAATTAGTGAAATGACTTAACTATAATAATGGGTTTTGGCGGCTGTTTAATCCTGAACAGGGGATACTACAAGTGCAGCAGCGTGAGGGGATGTCCGGCGAGAAAACACGTAGAGAGAGCTCTGGACGATCCGTCGATGCTAATTGTGACCTACGAAGGAGAACATAATCACAGTCTCTCAGTTGCAGAGGCTAGTAATCTCATCTTAGAATCATCTTAGAATCACCAGTTCTGGAAAACGGGTTTGCGTTTCATTTCAATTCTGCAGAAAAAAACAAAAAGATTGAAACGGCCGGCACCGAGCTGGATCTTAGTATTAGTTATAGTTGGTAGTTGTACTTGAGCTGAAAATCCATAACCCAAAAAAAAAAAAAAAAAAAGCTCAAGCTTAATTTTATCTCGAAGGAGAAATTGGGGGGTTTAATTTGTTCTTTCTTTTTTTTTTTTCCCTTGTACAATATTAAATATATTTATACATTGGCGATGTGGGATTAATTCCCAGCTTTCTCCTCTCTGCTAAATATTTTTATATTATCCCAAGAAACACCCTAGTGTCAAAATCATCGTTAAACGTGTTCGTTCCTTTTGTTTCTTGGAAAAAAAAAATATGACATACACAAAAATTTCAATGAATTTGGTTAAATAAAGAAGCTACCCATTTAAGATCATCACCAGACAAACACATAATTTCGTGTAAATTTCAAAAAGTTTATTGCTTGTTCATCAAAACAAAAGTTGAATTGAGTTAGAACTCTGAAAACCCTAAAAAAATACTTCACTCCATCATCTCATTTTGGTATTTCAGAAGGTGGATTTGGTGGTAGATTTGAAACCCAAAAACAAAGAAAAGAAGTGGGTCAAAGAAATAGCAATTTGTGGACCAACATGTCATATTAGGAACGGTTGACTTTCAAAATATATATATATATATATGTATATATATGTTGATGGGAGTTGCCAGTTGGAGCTCATAATTTACTACAGGTTGGTGTTTGGTATACAGATAAAGATTAGACAGAGAAGGTTGCTATTATCATTTATTATTATTATATACTAAAGTTTTTATTTTCAAACAAATTTAAATTCACACTTAATATAAATAATGAAATGTAACGTCAAAATTAATGAACTCTCGGTTCTATAAAGTTTAATTAAACTTTGTTTAAAATGATTTTACTTTAATAATAATTAAATTATCGACGCTTAATAATTTTTTTTTTTTTTTTGGGTTTGGACTTTCGGTTTTTTTGACAAATACTCTTTGAGATAAAGATGGTTGCATTGAATCTTGTTATTATGCATGTACGTGGGTCTCCTATATGTATACATATATATATATATAGTTTTTTATTGAGGTAATATTAGAGATTGAATTATAAAAAATTATTATTCTATTAGTACATATGTAGAGGTTTTCAAATATGTTTTTAAGTGAATAATAATATTATTAAAATTTAAATTCTATTTATTAATTTTACTAATTTAACTTATAATTTTTATAAACCAAAATGAATTAAAATCTTCAACAACTTTGGTTTGCCATTTCGAGTTGTCACCATCTTCAACCATATGTAGTTTTATTAATACTTGGCCAATATGAACTTCTCTTATATATATATATATATATATAAGTAAATATTATAAATAATTTAATTTTTTTTTAATAATAACTTATATAAATTCAAACCCAAATCGTCACTTATTCATGTTATTCATGAAACCTAAGATTTGAATATAATTATACGTAAATATATAAAGTTTTGATTGTTATTATACATATGCTATCAAATTAGTCTTCAATATTTTAATTAAAATAATTAACTTATGGTAATTTGCTAATTTTATTAAACCAGCATATCATACTTATACTTATTTTATAAAGCTATAAGGGTGATCTAATATTTTCTTCTTATTCAAAACCCACTTCTTGTTCAAAGGTGTGCGAGTGAAAAAATGAAAATTGACAACAAAAAAGATATATCGAGACATTAAAAAAGTCAATTAAATGCAACCTATACATATAAGATAAAGAAAATGTAGCATACGTATTCATTATTAACTTAAAAAAATTAGAGTGCCAAATTGAAATTCATACGATACCCGTTAAATCAAATCGTTAATTGATCGAAGCACAACAAATGTATAAAGATATTCTTAAAAATATAAAATATTAACAAAAATGAAATCATCGATAATTTTTTATATATACTCAAATTTTTAAGTATCGACAGGATTATTTAATTAACATTATTTTTTTTGAATTATAAAATTGATAATTTGAATTTGAATCGTATTAGAATTCATATAAGAATTTATAAGTATTAACTATATAATTTTTTTATGTTCAATGGAAAGTAATAAAAATCAAAATAAAATTGTTGGAAGTCAATTAGAGGAGCCAACTTCACGAACATATACGAATAAAGGGTATTATTGTAAATTAATATATATATATATTATAAAATGTGAAAATTAACTTTTTTAAAATAAAAATATTATTAATTTGATAATAAATAATTTAATTATTTGAATTAAAATACCCAAAGAAAAAAGTAACGAAGGCAGAAGTTGGAAGTCAAAATGGGTGGGTGGGAGATGATTGATTGAAGTACAGGTCCAGGTGGGGCCCACGGCTGTTCACAAGTTTGTTTGATAGTTTGCTTTGCCTTTCGCTTATCGTCAACCTTACTGTGCAATCTTGGACCCGCTCTTTATTTTTTATTATTTACATTTTGCTCCTTGCTTTTCCCTTTAATCTTATTTTAACCCCCACTAGTCCACTAAAATAACACTTTTCTACCGAGTTAAAAAATTTAATTACTTCCAAACCATATTTCCCTCAAATTTTAATTTTAAACTATTTTTTTTTTTATTTTTTCTTGTAATAATATTTGATAGATATATTTTTTGAATATCATATGATATTTAAATCTCTTACTTTAAATAATAAATAAATTTTTAATTTTTTAACTTATTAAATAATAAAAAAATATCATCTGATTCAAAAATCATAATACATTTTGTTGTTAGGTATCAGTAAATTTAATACTTTTTAAGATTTAATTTTTTATTATATAATTAAATATTTATAAATTTTTTTGAGAGATTTAAAGATTATATCTATTCGTATTTTATAAAAATTTGTATATTAAAAATATAATTTTTTTTAGTATAATTTCATATATATTTTTATATTAAATAAGAATAAAATTTTTAATAATTTTTTAACAATTAATAAAAAAGTATTGTCTAATATAAATATCAAATATATAATTTTTAATAAAATAAAAAAATACTAACAATAAACGCACATTTTACATCGTTTGTAATCTTATTTAAGATAGGTTGTTAATTAACAACACGAATTGTTGATTTTATATTTAAAATTAATTAATTTGTAATGTAATAGTTTAAATATCACTTAATATTTTTAATAAATACGTAAAATTTTTAAAAATATTAAATTTTTTCTTATTTTTTAATTATAATATTGTAAAATTATCAAAATCAAGAGGAATAAATTAAAGAAATTATAAAAATCTTTAAGGAATTCTAACATAACACTATTTGGTTTTAGTGAAAGTTTTGTTTGTTTGTCTAGAATTTTGTTCATTCTTCAAGGCCTACCTTGACCCCATCGTCGCTCGTCAATTCGAGCAAAACGTGGTTGGTGAAAGAGCGTGTCTGGTCTTGCCATGGATTTGAAGCTTTGAAATGTTGAAATCACAATAATTACAACCATAAAATATCACCATACTCTTTGGGCCTTCCTACAAATTTTAAGACCATGTAGTTTTTTTTGTACGTAATATAATTAGTGTGTATATATATATATGTGTGTGTGTGTATGAACCCATATGATTAGATAGATATGTATACATGTATGAATAAAAAGAACTTGGTGGAGAAATATATTAACAAAGCTTGACTCAATACTATAACTCATGGAGGCAAGCAACGCGTTTCAAACAAGCTTGACTTTTTAAATTTATTAAGTTATGAAATCAAATCAAATCAAATCGAGCTGAATTTAAGGAAATTGACAGAGGTTTTCTGTTTGGATGACGAGAAAATGGAAATTGCATGTGGGAAAGCTATGGCAGAGACTAAAAGTAGTGAAAAAAGAAAAAGAGGTTTGTGGAAATGGGGAAGCAGTGTCGGACCAGACAAACACAGGTGCTTGCATGACCCACCTTCTCCATGTATATAATATATATATATATATATATATATTGTATTGAATAATTTTAATTATTTATTTTATTAATTACGTGGAAAAACATCGTAGTTAATTTTTTTTTTAAATACATACATACCTATAATATATATGTATATATATATATAGTAAGATGTGCAGACAACGCGAACAACCTACTTACATTGTCACGAATAACTTATGATTATTTAGAATTTTAAAAGATTATTATAAAATTTTAGAGTATGTCTTAACAAATTTTTTATTTTGAATTTGAAGATGGTAATAATTAGTTTTTATAATTCACGAAAAGACTTATAAAATTATGAAGAGTAATTTTACACGTTTAATTATAATTAGCTCCAATTTTTAGAATTAACAAAAAAAAAAAAATTTATAGTATCATTGTTAAAAATTTATAAGATAATTAATATCTCGAATTTGAGTATTATTTTCGTCTTTTTCTTAAAAAAAAAAAATTATAACAAAAAACAAAGGCCCAAAACGGTGCGGTTTGGAGATGCAAGATGGGCCGAGCTATTGTAAATTGAGCGCAAGTAGTTTGTTCTTTGGGGAAAATGGGCTTCTGCCTATGGATATATAAATATTTCCAATCGTATTTTTTGACTGAATATAAATTTTAGTTATGAAAACAGTAGATATTTTAACAGATTCTAATTTTTAGTACAATTTTCTACTACCCATTTGATTACAAAATTGCTATATGTAAAGAAAAAATAAAATTAGGCATAAATTTATGTATCGGAGAAAGGAGGTTCTTACAATTTGCAGACGAATTTTGATTAAGCAATTCCCATTAAAATAGTTGGAGAAAAATATTGAATGAGATGATCGCGACAGAGGTTAACCATCATCTCCCTCTCCCGAAGAGTAACCATAACCACCCTGCTCATTGAACCCTCAGCCGGCGGTGGCGGAAGGATTATAACCTGGCCTATCGATCCGAGCACCGGCTCCACGTAGCATGAAACTCTAATCGGCGGACACCCTTCTTCAAACCTAGCCCAATTGTGCTCCACCAATCCTTCCAAGTTACAACATGTTAGTTCGCGGTCACCTATGTTAGCGAGAGAAAAAGTATCATTACATTTGAGCCGGTGGATCAAATCCACGATCCCATCATAATCCATTTCTGCAACAGCTCGTTTTATAGGTTCAACAACGTCGGATGGTTTATTATACACCTCCACACGAACCTTGTTATACACCATACAGTTTCCAAAATACCCTTTGTCTAAGCACAACACTTTTCTCATATCTAAGCATATGGACATACTCAAAACTCCTCCTTTTGTAATTCCCTTGATTTTGTTCAAACAAATCCAAAAGAGTCCGGCTAGTGCCTCGAAGGGTGATGGTGAGCCAGTGGGTCCAGCGGCCATGTCCATGCAGCTCGGACCATGTGGTCAGTGAATAGGAAAGTGAGGGTCACTGGCTTAATCGTAGTTAAGGAATGTGATTTTTCAATGTTGAATGACTTGTAGTGGTTGATTAAGTGAAGGCAAGGTGTGTGATTAGGGTTTTGATTGTTAGGTCTTGGTGGTGGCAATTCATGAAATAAAGGTGGAATGTAAATTGTTTTGGCTAAGGTCATGTCTGCCAGGCCTTGATGAACATAGTTGCGCAAATGGGATCAGCTAAGAGGTGAATGCAGCTCAACCCTATTGCTAATCCACCATCTTCAAATTCAGTTAGCTAAAGTCATAAACAAAAAACATCAATAGGTTGCATTTGATTCTTATAAATGCTTTTTAGTAAATTAAAAAAGATTTACCTGGACATAAAATGTTGACCAAAAGTAAGGTTTGTGATCCATGTCTTCCCAGTGAACAAGCATGAGCTCTTTGTCTCTGTCAACACTCCTTAACCAATCCTCCACACACCCTTTTGCTCTGGCCTCCACTACTCTCAATCCGGCATCGTTACACTTTACCCTCCACCGCCCTTCTCCGTCTTTAATTAACCGTCCCGTCATGATAGGAAAACACGTGAGCACCTGCGATAATGTTTCTCTGAGTATCTTGGTTAATTCCCTAACTTTCTTATCTCCCGAGCAACGATAGTAGTATACTATTCTCACGTGGTTTTGCTCCATAGCCCGATCGAGAACCGACAGAGAACAGTACTTACCTGCCTCAACAGGTTTTGAGCTAATCACTGTTCGTTTGCACTTGTAACTTACTTCCGCCATTGATGTGCAGTTCATTTGGATATGCCATTGCCAATGGTACTTATAAATTTAAACAAAACCAACTTGGCGGATTTAGGGAGAAATGACATTTTTGTGATCATTCAAAATAATAATAAAAGATACACAGCTTTTCTAAACTCCGGATAGCCCAAGATCCGGCCCAACTTCGGCCCATTTCAAGTTTTTATTAAAACAAGCCTGAAGCCTGTTAAAACCGAAAAATCAACTGCCTACGAAATGAAACCTCAAAAATAGTAAGAGAGCTTCTTTTGGAGGGTATGGCGGCGATGGGTTCCCTCTCATTTCCCATCGTCTGCTCATGAAACTCAAACGCCTCACTTCTCTCAAAACTCTGCTCTCGGCACCTAAATCCATCATGGCGCAAACCCGAACTCTAACCCACAATCAAATCCTCGACACAGACCCACCACAGGATCTCGATAACCTACTATGCTCCGACGGACAACCGGAGCCAGAACGACAAGAGGGACATCCCTCTGGAACTGATACGATGGCGACTTGTTTGGGAAATCCGGGTCGAGTCCTCAGTGGGGAGTCCCGGGTCGAGAGAGCGTGGGCTCACTGGGAGAAACTTGGTAGACCCAAGTTGATAGTTGCTCCGATGGTGGATAATTCGGAGCTACCGTTTAGAATGCTTTGCAGGAAGTATGGAGCCCAGGCGGCGTACACCCCTATGTTACACTCTCGTATTTTCTCTGAAAACGAAAAGTACCGGGGCCAAGAATTTACTACTTGTAGGGTAAATTCCTTCATTACCATTGCTAATTTTAGTTTTATTGATTTAGTTAGTGCGATTTTGCTTATTGGACTTTTTATTTATTGTATAATTGAAGGAAGATCGGCCATTGTTTGTCCAGTTTTGTGCCAATGATCCAGAAGTATTGTTGGATGCTGCACGAAGAGTGGAGCCTTTTTGTGACTACGTTGATATAAACTTGGGGTAACGTTCTTTTTGTCTAGAATTTTGACTGATAAGAATTAGTTCATGTTTATACTTGATAATATTAGGCTACTTTTGGAGAAAATCAAGAATTTTTGTGGAAAGATGGTATTTTTACCTCATACTAACTAATCCATGTGTGAACTTTTCCAATATATGTAGTTGGTTCTGAATGTAGTCTTATAGCTTTTCCAATATAAGATTTCCTTGTTCATTTTCAATACTATTTTATGTGTATGTTTGGTATGGCATATTCTTATTGTTACCTTTGCTAAAGCTTATTACTGAACAGGAAATAAACAGAACACAATTAAAGCCACTCATAAAAACAGTTAGCTATTTGTCACTTTATGACATTTGTGATTAATGCTCTACTGTGTACAAAGATTACTGGTGCTATTGATTCTCTGAGCTTTCTTTCCTGATAAAATGGAGTACCTTACATGAAGAATTGTTTTAGGAAAATTTATCACAATTATGTTTGATTTAGAAATTATTTTGTGCATGTGAAGGATCCCCTTCCTCATAAGTATAGACAGATAATTTGGACCATGAGATCACTGTCCTGTTTGAACCTGAGTTTATGGAGATCATTTAGTTGGAAGTCTTAGATTGAATATGGATTGTGTGCAGTGTCCTCAGCGTATTGCGAGGAGGGGAAACTATGGAGCATTCCTAATGGATAAACTTCACTAGTAAATCTCTGTACAAATTAGCTCTGAAACTTAATGTCCCTGTCTCATGCAAAATCCGAATCTTTCCTGATTTGCAAGATACAATCAATTATGCTAGGATGCTAGAGGATGCTGGTTGCTCGCTACTAGCTGTACACGGCCGAACTAGAGATGAGAAAGATGGAAAGAAATTTAGAGCTGATTGGAGTGCAATCAGGGCTGTGAAAAATGCAGTCAGGATCCCAGTCCTTGCAAATGGGAACATACGACACATGGATGATGTTCAAAACTGTTTGGAGGAGACTGGTGCTGATGGGGTGCTTTCAGCTGAGTCTCTCCTTGAGAATCCTGCTCTGTTTGCAGGATTCCGAACCCCAGAATGGGTATCAGACTGTGAAGAAAATAGCCAAGATGGTAAACTAGATCAGGCAGATCTACTTGTTGAATATTTGAAGCTTTGTGAAAAATACCCTGTGCCATGGAGAATGATTCGTGCTCATGTGCACAAAATGTTGGGAGACTGGTTTAGGATTCATCCAGAGGTAAGAGAGGATCTAAATGCTCAGTCTAGACTGACGTTTGAGTTCCTTTATGGTCTGGTTGATCGCCTTAGGGAGCTTGGTCTAAGAATACCTCTTTTTAAGAAGGATGCTCTTGCAGCAAGAATTTCATCAAATGGTTTAGGTGCTTGAATGTGGAAGATTCTTTTTTGGGTAGGTGGATTGCATATGATTTGGTTTATTTCTCCAAAATTCTAGTTCGTGTTTAGCATGATTCGAGAAATGTGATACACAATATTGTGAAACGAATGATCAGAAAAAACTATGACTCAGAGAAAGTAACACTGGTTTGTTGTACTGATTTTTTCAGGGGGATCTTAATAGTCTGTAATATGCTAGTTATTGTATCAAATTTTAAATTATACTGGGACAAGTTTGGTCAAACTCAGAGATGTAATAGCTCGGAAGGTATTCATATTTTCTGCAAAAAAGACCTGTATTTTTTTGTGGAGAAAGACATGTATTCCATTGAATATTGATTTGTTATATTAGCCTGAGATAAAAAATTTCTTCGAGGACATATCATAAGTGGTTTGCATTTTCAGGACTATGATGCTCTTTTCTTTTTTTCTTAAAAAAAATATCGCTAAGTTTTCGATACTAGATAGAATAAATGAAGTGAAGTGGCAACTTCTTAATAGACCAGTCTAGTTTAATCAGTAAGCAAGAAGAAAAAAAGAATGTTGACGTGTAGATCAAAGTCCCTAAATGACAGAACAGATCTAAGAGATCAAATGACACCAATGGATTGGAGATGCTTATTCTCAGCTTGCCATCTCATATTCACATCATAATTGACTTCATTGATACAAATGAAAAAATTATAAGGGCTCATATCTCCATAATTTCTTTTGGTACAAACGGATAAAATGATAAGGGTTCGTACCAGGCACAAAGACTAAAAGGCTGAAAACTTAGCTCCTATACCACGAAATTTGTTTGGACTTTGCTTACAAGATGCTCCCCATAGACTGCACTTTCGAAAATTCGAGTTTCACCGGTTCTCTGTTGACAAATATCCAAAGGCTCCACTACAGCATCGAAGTTTGGCTGTTTGTACAACAGGAAAGTGCACCAAATATGAACAATGAGAATTCATGAGAATGAAGAGAAGTAAATGTAGGACCAAAGAAGTTTCCTAACCTCATAGAAGAAAGCTACACAAACCCGGTATTTTGGGGAACTGTTGGTAACTCGATGTACAGTTGACTCATATAAACCATTTGACCATATCTGAAATTCCAAAGCTTGCACAATTGGTTTTGCTCGGTGTAACACAAACTAAAAAAGGAATAAAAACACCAACCTTCAGCATGTCTCCAATGTTGCATACAAAAGTCCCTGGGATTGGGACCGCCGATATCCATTCACCAGACAGATTTCTCACCTTCAGAACCCCGTCCACAATAAAAATATTTGAACTTAAAACATCAGATTTGTAGCAAGTGCATACTTAATCATAACAATTATGAGGGAGCACATAAAATGGAACCTTCGAATCCAACATGGAAACCTTTCTAACTGGAAAAATACTTAACTTCCATATGATGATGATGGTAAAGCTGGGTAACAGAGACATAAATTTGAAAAAAAATTTGCCATTCCCCAAGTCATCCAATTAAGGTTTAACAGCTATACTGGATCATTAAAATAGTGTCACATTGATTAGGGTGACACCTTAGCCTCTATGTACACATACTAACTACATAACTTTTCTTGGATGGCACTTACTACCTGGTGAGGGTTGACAAAGTCAAGGGGTGTACAACTGGAAAAAAAAAAAACAAATGATCCTAAATTTTTCTCAGAGAGAGATAATTGAATACTTAAAGCTGAGTTGCAACACGACAAAATGTGGGAAATTTTCTGATGGATGCAAATGCAACTTTTGAGCATGGGTATGCTGTGCATTCAGTTCCACCAATTCAATATTGTAAAAATGGTATGATAAGAGATCTCATAAGTAACAATATAGTGAAAAATAGGATTGTACCTGAAGTGCGGTTATATCATCATCTTGATTAACCAGTGTCAGTAAACCTGTAATGGAACACAACAGAATGACTGAGATTAGTATGAAAATTCTTTTATTCCACTCATCATCTAAATTTTAAGGACATTACCATAATCGGTGTGAGCTCCACTGAAGTTGCTCCATTGAAGAACACAGAAGAGAAGAAAGAATGAAAAAAAGGGAAAAGTCACACAAACTGAGAAGTAAGGGGAAAGGATAATGGATCAACATAAGTATTATTCAATTACCATCCAATGTCATTTTCTGGCATGTCTAGACCATATGCATGTGAGACACCTGGGTAACCGATAATTCGCATCACCCAAAATGGATCTCCACCTTTTTTCACCTTCAAATTCATATGGTGATCCACCCAATGCCAAAGCGATTCCTCGCATTATTTTTCTTGAAAGGCGTGATATACCAGGAAAAGAAGAGTTGCAAAACGATTTTCTACAGAATGAATATAAGAAAAAAAATATAGTATTCTGCACATGGAGACCATGCCTGTGCAAAGGTTGATATATTCTTCCATTAGTTCTTTGAAGTTAGGAGGCTTTTGGGGCCTGCAGAAAAGGGTGAGCGAAGTTATTTGTAAGGAACATTTAATAGGTAGATGATAGTGATTACACAATAGCCAATGTCAAGGCCCAAAGACTAGAATTTCAATTCAGAAACCAGATGCTTGAAGATTTGAGTACCACAGTTCCTACGGCGTAGAGGTGACAAACTTACATGGTGGAATAACTATTGTAAAAGAACTAAAGAACAAGAAATAATCAAGGGTGCTGTAACAATCATAATTTCTGAAGAATATAATAGTTCAAGATCTTGTCACTTTAGCTATCTTTGCAAAAGAGGAACCAGCTCGTCCAGAACAGTTCATAAGCCTATTCTTGTTTTGAGTGGAGGATCAATCTGTTCTTCAATCAATGATTATAATTTATGATTGTTCGAAAATTTGTGGCTTTACCCAAAATAAATTATAGCAATAACAACCAGATACTGGGGATATATTAGCGACAAGAAGAACGTAGGAGAATAGCTGTAGTTAAAAGAGCAATATTCAAAAAGAAGCTAGTTCTTGCGCACCACTTGTTACACCCTTCCATAGGTTTGCCAAGAGCTCCATACATCCCTGGTTTTATTTCTTTATAGCACTACCAACAGAAAAGAGAGAATTGACTTACATAAATACAAAAAGGAAGCAGATACAACAATAACAGTGATAATTATAATAACGTCGATGGCTACTGTATAACATGAAAATGGCATCAGAGCTACTTGTCTGTTGAAGCTCTTCATGGATGTGCTATAATAATAAACTAAAGAGGTCATTTGCAATGCTTAACATAGACACATCTTGCCAAAATGGAAAATATAAAAAATGTTTCTTCATTTAATTTTTAGCTTCCATATCAAGAGCAGAGAATTTGCTCGGTGATACTCGATGTAATTTATCTTTCTATTCCTGTGGACACATCATTCACCATATGCCGCAATTATGGCAAAATAGACACCATGCAAACTAAGTTTGGAAGAGACGAATTCTACCAAAAAAATGTGGATTTGTGAACAAATTTCATAGTTTTTAAATAATTCATTTCTTACATAAACAGTTTAAACAGAGAATCACTTCCCCACATCTATTGACTATCATTAAATTAATAGGTACCGCATGAATAAAAAACAGAACTTACATCAATAGCTTCATGCATATCAGGTACCCCTTTTGTTATATTTTCCCCTAGTCTCTGATATCCCCTGCATTCAAAATGTTAAATCTAAACATTAAAAAAAAAAAAAAGAAGAAAAGATTCTGATGACAAACTTCACTAGCAAGCGCGAAGTGAATAAAACCTGTATCCAGTTGCTGCTGTCATCTTAATCTTGATTTTTTCCTCGTATGGAAGATCATAAAACTGGCGTGATATATTTCTAACCTCTTTGAGGAGTGACTCAGGAATACCATGGCCAGTCTGGTCAATTAAGGGGCACGCAGTGTAGCTTTATAATTATTATTATGTTTAAAGAAAATGGTGGTTAATGTGTAATATCACCAGAGAAAGCTACTAAAGCATATTTGCTAAATAGTTTAATTAACAACTAATGGGAAACTAGAAAATACAACGGGCGAATTTAGGTGAAAAAGCAGACGAAGATGAAGATACCACATAGAAGAATCCAGCCTCCCTGCACGCCTGATCTAATTGCCTAATGACCTGAGACACACCTGGGTCCTCGGCCATGTTTGGGTCATCCCACCTGGCCAACAGAGGGCTAACATCTGCATTATTACAGACAGACAAACAAACAAAAAAAACTGAGCCACAACAACGGCCATATACTGCCCATAACATCCAAGCGCTTATTCAATTCAACAAAACTTTTTGAGGAAAAATGTAGTTTTCTTTCCGTCCTTAATTTTCAAAGCAAAAACGAATTTGCAATTTTCATTTTACCGAGAGGAACAACAGCACGGGTTCAGTGGCTGAAGTCTGCCTCAAATCAAAGATTCAATGTGTTGTTGAATAATCAGATTAACGTCAGAGAAGTGATTGAATTTTAGGATTTTCCTTACCCACAATTGGAAGGGATTTGAAGTCGGTGGCCATGGCGTTGATGATGATTTCTCTACGTTTCTCTCTGTAGAAACCTCCGAGCAGCTCAGGGATCGAGCAAAGATTCAGAAGAATCCAAACAAACTTGAGTTTTTCTAAATAAATAACCTTTGTTTGGATTGCTACACGGAAGTGGATGGCGGGACCATTGCCAGATGGGCTCAAAACGGTGCCGTATGACAAGGAAGGTGGCACCATACAAACTGTCAAGGAGGCTATTTTTATTGATTTCAAAAAAATTAATAGTAATTTTAATTAAAAATAATAATAATAATAACTAATAAATGATCGGAATATTACTAAAATATCCCATTCAAAAAAATACAAATAAATTTTTTTAAAAAATAATTAAAAATTACCCACATATTGGCAAAAGCCCAGCCCATGAGGTCGGCCATCACCGGTAGGACTTAGCAGCTAGTTTGAAAATGTTCTTGACGTAATTCATCAGGCCCATCATGGGTGAAGCCGCAACGGAAAGTTTAATTTTATTAAAATGAAATTATATTACACGTTCATCATCTCAAAATATCCAGTAAAAAACCTCTAAACGTAGATGAATTTTCTCTCAGATTATCATAAATAACCAGAGAATTTCCGCCAATAAATGTGAAGAAGAATACGAGAATGGTTACATGGTATTACAGCAACTAAGATGACGATGAACCAGATGACTTTGTACGGTTATGACAATACTGGAAACAATTTTCGTCCATCTTCTCGAGCACAAAATGTGCAAGCATGTCGTTAGCTTCCACAAGATTTTCTCTGCACAAGAACTCGTCGCCGTAGATCTTCTCTACATCTCTGTAATAATCATGGACGAAGACGTGGGTTTTCGGGTTACCACCCTTTTTGCTCCTCGCCAGAACGCCGGCGGTGAAGATCGCCGACATCCTGCCGGGTCCCTCTTGTCCATCTCCTCTCGGCCCGTCAACCAGAATCACGTCCCAGTCAACTTCGTAAACATGGTTGGGCAGATCGTTGAGCCCGAGCTTGCATTCCGAGAAGAGCAGGTTCTGCACCGGCCGGCACTCGTTGCGTATCTGCTCCTTCGCCGACGTTATCAGCTCTCGCTTTTCGCTCATCTTAGTTGTGTACTGCACGTCGAAGACGTCGATTTCCGGATGCAGCTCTTCGAAGTAGGCGGCGTAGTAGCGGTTCTCGTCGATGAAAACAGTCCGGCCGTTGTGATTCAGAGCTTTCCAGAGAAGGGTCTCGTGGGTTAATCCGAAGATGAGGAGATTACAGGGTGACGAGCATTTGCGGAGGACGTCGGAAATGGGTTTGAGCTCGGCGTAAGACATGTGGAAACTGTCGTTGGATCTGGAAGCGTAGTGGAGAAGAGTGTTGATGACTGTTGTGGGTAGCGCCGGATTTGCAGACGTAGCGGGAGCAGCGTTGGGTACTACAGCTGCGGCGGCGGCTGTCGTTTTTATGGGTATGGATTGTCTGGTATAGATGAGGGTGAGGAGGAAAGCTACGGTGAAGAAGGAGAAAAAAGCGAGAAGCCATAGGCGATTTGAGTTTCCTTGTTTTTGGATATAAGGGTGAAGGAGAATGAGCTTGGTGTTGCTGTTGCTGTTCTTCATTTCTGAAAGCGTAGGGAGTCAGGGGTGGTGATCTTGCTCGGGTGTTATCAATGGCGGAAAGGGAGTATAAAAGGAAGTGTGTTTGTTGAGAGAAACTAAATGGGAAAGAAAAGAAAATAGTGGTTTGAGTTGTAGAGAAAAGATGTGTTGGTGCAGGTTCTTTGGTGTTTAAGCTTGGATTACCACAAATATGAAGCTGACATTACAATCAATAACATACGATAACAAGTGACTAACCTAAATTCGAGTCATGTTTTTAGTATTTGGTACTGGTTGGATTTGAGTTTGAGAAGATGGAATTGGTGGAAGAAGCTGGAAAGAAAGGTTGGTGGCACTTGGCATCAGTCTGTGGGCGACCCCATAACTAAATGGCAAGCCAGAAGTCGCTTTTGCTTTCTTTGTTTCTCAAGCAAATGCAGATTTATTAATTGCAAAATCATCATTTTATGTGATTTACTTCTGTTCAAATTGTTCAATTACCAGTACCATTGATGGACTTACACACATACTTATACCCATACGTACACCCATACGTATTTCCGACATTCATAACTAAATGCTCGTTCGTGCCATTGTCAACTGCACGAAGCAGAACATGCCTGGTTTAAGACCTAAAAAAATTCATGTTACTGAAATAACAAGCCAAAAGAGCAAGAAAACATGGGAGAGACCAAAATAGATTCGGTAAGCAGAAGACGACTTCCTGAAAAACCCTAATAGGGTTCATGCCGATACACACGCACAGCATGCGTCCCATTTCTGTCACCACCCATGGCTTCGGGTAAACAGACCTTTTCGATCTGAGGTTCCTTCAACAACTGTTGCTATTAATAACATGCAGTGGGTTTCTAATTAAGTTAATTAAACTATAAACAGATTTGAGTTTTGAAGTGTAAAAATTATCTAAAAGTATAAGTACATTTATTCTCTGTTTAAATCATGATAAATGGTAGAATTTTAATGTATTTTATTTTACGGGTATGAAAAAATCGTGTTTGTTTCAACTTCTAATTATAATAAATGTTATCTGATTGATAAATTTTTAAACTATTAAATTGATGGTATTGTTTTTCGTCTAATTTAATTAATTTTATATATGCCCTGACAATTAAAAATTTATTGAATTAACGTGATAATACAAATAATTATTGTTATTTTATTGAATATAAAATTTTAATTTGATTATGTATAATAATTATTTATTTAAATACAAATATAATTATATTGATAAATAATTTATTTTTTCTTACATACTTTTTTTATACCGTTTACTATTACATATAATATATAGGAGTAAACTAGTAATTTAGTTAAAAATACAATAATATCATACTATCACACATACAAAAATATGTCATTAACATACATTAATATACTATAATTTTATATTATTATTATTTAATTACTGTCGTTATTATATATTAATTAAACATCACTGAAATTTATTTTTAAAATTTTTTTAGTTTTTAAATAATAAAACTATTTTGCATATTGTATGCGTTTATGCATATATATATATATATATATGTTCATTGATGGGCTGCTTGTCTTCTTTCTTTCTTTCTTTCTTTATGTGTGTGTATATATATATATATATATGGTCATTTTGTGTCCTAATAGCTAAAGATTTAATGAAAAAGAAGCCTAGAACCTTTTTATTTTGTCTACTTTCGACTTTGAACTACAAAATTAGCTCCTTTTTGTGACTCTATTGCGTTATGCCTTCTTTTTCTTTTTTCCTTTTTCTTTTAGAGTCCGTAAAAAATTTGTGATAATTTAAGATAAGAATTAACATTATCTTATAAGAATCAAAATTTCATAAAATTTTGTATTAAACAATTTGCATTAATAGTAAAATTAGTAACAAATTTATTAAATAAGCAAAATATATATATATATAATTTAAACCAAATATTTTTTAATTTGAATATTTTAAAATTATTTTAAATATTGGTTTAAATGTCAACTTTATGTTGGTTTCAATGTTATTTAGTTTTATATTTTAAAATAATTAATATGAATAATAATAAACACAAAGAAAGTTACCACTTAATTATTAGCTTTGGGTTATGATGGTGGATTTTTGAAAAGGTGACAAATAAGTTATCACCACCAACCACGCATGTAAAGTGAATTGTAATATTTGATTTAATAAAATTAAATATTAAATTTATTAATATATTAATGAAATTAATTTAATTTTTTTAAATTATAATATATTTAAATAAAAATAATATCTATTAATAATTATATTTTATCAATTAAAATAGTCACAATAAAATAAATATCGGATCTAACAATAAGAATTAATTAATTTTTTTTTTACAATAAAATACTTGAAAATTCATAGTTAAATCCCAGCTGTGATAATCTAAAAATTGAAATAATGCTCTAATTTTTGAACTAATACGTGGGTAAATTTAATTTAATAAATATAAATAAATATGTATATTAATACGATAAAATTAATTAATTCAATTAAAATTAACCGTTAATTAAATAATAAAATTTTAATCATTTTAAACTTCTTTTAGTGGTAATTTTGAATTCCAATAATCAATTATATAACATATTATGCAATTAATTTTTCAATTTATATAAAAATAATTAAACTAAAATTATGAAACGAAGGTAAATATAATTGTTCTTACTTTTTACCGTGCAAGGAGATGTTCGGCGACGGGCTCGGGGAGCTCGCTGGTTAACCAGGTTCGACTCGGCCAAAAATCGGCTCGCTCGGCGGCAACTGGGCGAACTGCGCGAAGGGCATTGACTTTGACGCCGTCGAGACTTGAAATATGAATTCTCTGTTGCCATGTGTTTGAAAATCTTTACACCGCGCGTGTTTACAGACGCAGAGTGGATATTAATTTTATTCGCATATTTAATATTTTTTAAAATAAACTTTTAAGTTTAATTTTATTTTAAAAACCTTAATTTTATTTTGTATTGAATCCTGCCCTCTAGCCCCACGAGAAACAATATAGTACTCTAATTGTCCTTGAGTAATTATTTTGTCACGGATTAATAGTAAATTTAATTATTAAAATAGCATATTATATAATTTAATAATTGATAAAGTACATAAATTTGATAATGTTTGATTAATATATACACTTAATTTTCTAAAACTGAATAGAAATAAGTAATTATACAGTTTATACCCGACTGCCAAACTTTAATGTTGTATTTAATTACAATTAAAAAAAATATTAATATAATCACAATGTAAATTAATAACGAATTTCATAAATAATTATTTAAAAAATAAATTAATTAATTAAATATGCATGTCACGCGCTTCACTGTCAAAATGGCTGCCCCATGCCCTACTTTCACGTGATGCTCTGTAGCGCCCGCAGCAGGAGATGTCCAGCTGCTCCGCAACAAAACCTCACACAAAACCAAACACCCCAAAATCGAAGATGCAGTGAACACTTTTCAATCCCAAAATGCCGCTGCCCGCTTTTCTTCTCCTCTCTCTCCTCCTCTCATCCGCCGTCGTTGGGACTGGTCGCGCGAAACATGCTCCCCCGCCGCCAGTGGCTTTGACGGCCAGCTATTTCGTCCCAAGCGACGCCGTTTCGCTGCTCTCCTTCAAGCACAAAGCTGACCTAGACAACAAGCTGCTCTACACGCTGAACGAGCATTTCGACTACTGCCAGTGGCAAGGTGTGAAGTGCGCTCAGGGCCGTGTGGTACGCTTCGTCCTCCAGAGCTTCGGCCTACGTGGGATCTTTCCCACGGACACTGTGGCTCGGCTCGACCAGCTCCGTATCCTCAGTTTAAAGAACAACTCGCTGTACGGTCCGATTCCGGACCTCTCCTCTCTCTTCAATCTTAAGTCACTCTTTTTAAGTCACAACAACTTCTCTGGCTTCTTCCCTTTTCCCATTCTCGCCCTCCATCGATTAACCACTCTTGATCTCTCCTACAATAACCTCACCGGTTCGATTCCGCTCGAGATTACGGGTTTGTCCCGGCTCAATTCGCTCAATCTCGAGTTCAACCGCTTTAACGGGACGGTTCCGCCGCTGAATCAGTCGTTTCTTGTTGCCTTCAATGTGTCCGGTAACAACCTCACCGGGCCAATACCGGTGACGCCTACGCTCTTGCGGTTCGATATGACGGCGTTCTCATTGAACCCTGGCCTCTGCGGAGAGATCATCAACCGAGCATGCAATTCCCGCTCGCCTTTCTTTGAATCGCCAAATACCGCCTCATCGTCGCAGGGACCGCCACTCGGGCAGAGCGAACAATCGAGGAGCAGCGGATTAGTCGTTTTGCCTCCGCCGTCGCCGAAGAAGCATAAAAGAAACGGTCTCGTTCTTGGTTTCGCCGTTGGATTAGCTGTGGTAATCGTAATCCTTATCTGCATCTTCGCATTCGTCGTGAAGAAACAACGTAAAGCTAACATGAAAGAAGCAAACCCGAAGGAGGTAAGCACAGTGCAAGATCCTGATCATGGAGGCTTGTATCCCGAAACCTCGATGAACGAAACGGGAGTCATAGGACAGAGCAAGGAAACACAACAGGAGAAAGCGATCAAGATTCAAGTTCATGAACCGGCAAAAGGAGTGCCTAGAAGCGGGAACCTGGTGTTCTGCGCTGGAGAAGCGGAGGGGTACACAATGGAGCAACTAATGAGGGCGTCGGCGGAGTTGCTGGGAAGAGGTACTGTGGGTACGACGTACAAGGCGGTGCTAGATAACCAGCTGATCGTGACAGTGAAGAGGCTGGATGCCAACAAGACGGCCATTACGAGCAGCGAAGCGTTTGAGCAACACATGGAAGCAGTCGGCGAGCTAAGACACCCGAATCTGGTGCCACTTCGTGCCTACTTCCAGGCTAAAGGAGAAAGGCTTATCATCTACGATTTTCAACCCAACGGCAGTCTCTTCAATCTAATTCACGGTATTCTATTCATTCATCTGCTTGAGTTTGATTTTAGTTTAAGCTCTGATAATTTTGCTTCCCCGCCGTTCAAGTCTCCTGTTTTCTTCTCTCGGTTTTTAATTTAATCACTCAGTGAGTCGACCCCGAGTTACCCTTTCTACCAGAGTATTTTATTTTTATTTATTTTGAAAAAGTAAATTGGCTTCGTTGTTGCTGATTGGCAACCGGAAGGCACGCGCGTGAAATGAGAATCCGACGTGGCCATTTGTGTTGACCAAGAGAGACGGTTGACTGTTGTATTCTCACATAGCCAAGTGGGACCCAGAACGGATAATATGCGACAGTGACGTGGAGATATATGATTGGCTGCAAACGCGATAAGTTATGGCGCCGAGAGTTATGCTGAAAAGAGCGCCGCAGCTTTTGAGGAGCAGGGCTTCTTTTCGCATTACCGACATTTTTCTTACACCACACAAGAAAAGATAATGATAATAACATTAATAATAAAAGGAAATTTTTCGATCAGACAGGCAAGAAAACTCGAGAGTATGTAAATTGCACGTGACAGTTCAGTTGTCCTTGCAGATTTGTCGAGTTGGGAGTTGCAGGGTTGTATATCTGTTGCTTCTTCTTTTTGGGGTATGGTGTTTGATTTTTTTCCCCAGAAAAATTTCATGTGACTTCGAATTGATAGAGAGAGTTATTAATGCATAAAGTATAATTTTAATATATGCCCACATGGGAACGTGATTTTCATGATATTATATAACACAACAAGAAATTTCGTGCATTCAGCGGTTTTCATGAGATTATAAGTATACTGGTGTGATTAGCATTTTTGATATATCACTGTGGTATTTAGTGTGTTTATATTGTTTAATTACTATAACAAAACATAAGCAAATTATGCAAATGATATCGAGCAGGATCAAGATC